TTTCCTCTGAATCTAGTCAGCGTTTTCTGCTGGGGAGCATTCCTGATGGCGGCTGGTTTATTGGTGTTGGTGTTTTCAGGCCGATTACAAACGCTGACTCAGCGTTTCCGTGAAGCCGGACTTTTCCCCTCCGGCTCCTCAGTGTTATGGACGCCGTAGATCCTCCAGCTGAATGTATCCACGCTGATCAGAAGACGTCAGATCGCTTTAACAGACGACAGTTTGCACTGTAAAACACTTTTAGAGCCTTTTTGGAAGCCGTTTGTTACCTTGTTGACGTGTTGGTACATCACAGCTTTTGTACACTGTGCATGTTAGCAGCCCTGACTCCTTCTGTTGCTCACCTCCCAAACTCCCTGTACACTCTCCTCCATTTATTTACAGAAATAAACATTAGCAGAAAACCTGACGCTGCCCTTTTGCCTGCTTCCACCGGCCCTCTGGCGCCACCTGCAGGACAGATCACAGCCTCCATTACACACTCACCTCTTTACAACAGTTTTGGGAGACAAAAACATTCAATTCTGTGTCCTGGGAAGCTTTTTTTGGTGGAATAAGTCACAAATTAAGTAAATCTGAATCAGAAGTTTATCTGAAGTGACAGCTAGCTAATAGCCGCTAACCCCAGCTAGCCAAAAAACATTTCTGTGTCCTGGAAAGATTTTTTTTGTGGAATAAGTCACAAATTTAGCAAATCTGAATTATAAGTTTCCCTTGATGCTTTGAGGAAAATTCCCCCCTACAGGGGTTTTAATTTAATAAAAGAAGTAGTTGATATTTTGAGCATGTAGCCACAGATTTATGCTATGAACCACATATGTAAAAGGAGGTTTTGTTTAATTTCCTGTCCTTTTCGTCCATTATTGGATAGAGCAGAGACAGCTAGCTAGTACCCGCTAACCCCAGCTAGCCAAAAAAACATTCATTTGTGTCATGGAAAGCTTTTTTTTCCTAATCAGTCGGGTTTCTGTACACAAATTAGGACAAATCTGAATCAGAAATTTCCACTGGTGCTTTAAGGAATATCCCCCAGTTAGTGGTTTTAATTTAGTAAAATAAGTGGTTGATATTTTGAGCATATAGCTAAAGAGATTTATGCCATTAACAAGATTTGTAACAGCAGGTTTTGTCTCTTCTTTCCTGAGAATCTGAAATGACAGCTAGCTAGTAGCAGCTAACACAAGCTAGCAACAGCAAACAGGTAAAGGTAAACTCAGATACCACTGAACAGCCAGAGGAACTTCGAAGGTAAATATGATAATTTCGGTAGACGTTAGCCGACAAGACAAACAAATAAGTTGGTATTTGGAGAAAACACAAGACAAAAAAAAAGGCTAACGTCAGTTTTTTTTCCCCCTTAGAGACAGAAAGTACAAACACACACAGAATTCAAAGTCGAGTCCATGTCGGAGATCTTTCTTTACCAGAAAGGGTCAAATTTCCCTTCAAAAAACAAGACAAATGAGCACAAATCAACAGCGGAGGTGGGTTGTTTCCTTTTATTCCCCAATAAATGTCTTTACAAAGCTTGTCAGACGACGAACGCACGCCTCGTCCCGCCGGCCAGACAAAGGACACTTGGAAAAGCGACAGTTTGTGTTGTTTGTGGGTAAAAAGTGCCGACTCACTCTGCCTCAGTAGGTCCACGTAGTGAGAGCAAAGCCTGCCGCCACAATAAATAGTTTTCCCAGAACAATGACTCAGCAGAAACACCGAACAGAGGCTTTAAAAATAAAAAAAAACAAAAAAAAAGGATTAAAAGTGAACCGTTACTGCGGCTTTTTAATTTGTAAAACCAAATCGAGCGGCCCTTTGTTCGGAGCTCTCCCCAAAGCGGCTCGGTGGTGAGAAGGGGGCGGAGCCATAGACGGATGGGGGCGGAGCCAAAGACGGAGGGGGCGGAGCCAGAGGGGACGATTCACATCACAACCACCGATTCACCCCTTTAGGTACAGGTGTGTGTTTCTGTGAGTGAGTGTGTGTGTGAGTGTTTGTGTGTGTGAGTGGGGGACCGGGGGGAGGCGTTGTTGGCGATGGCGTTGCCGTGGCGACGGCGACGATCCTCAGCCCTTCTTCTCCTCCAGGATCTTGTGGAGCTCGTCGGCGTCCTGGCCGGTCTTGACCCGGATGAGGAGCGAGACGGGGCTGCTGGGGCTCTTCTCGTCCAGAGGAGGGTTGGGGACGCACACCACCATCACGTTGTTCTTCCCCACCCGCGAGCAAGGCATGGCGGGCGGCACGATGATGTTCAGCAGGATGTTTCCTGGAGGGGACACGGTTAGCATGACTCAGCACAAAAAGCCACAGCCCAGGAAAAGAGGAAAATACGGTACTTATTTAGGCTGAACAGGGATTTACTCTGATAACAACTTAATGGTTAGGACACAGAGCTGTGGGTTAGAGATGCTAATGCTAAAGGATGTGCAGGAAAATGAGCAGATTAGGGATGTCCCAATCCATCTTTTTGTACTTTCGATACCAATCCCGGCCTATCCGAGCCTGTATTAAAGTATAAAGTTATTTATCTACTTACTTAGTAGTCAGACAGGGATTTATTATGATAAAAACTTAATGGTTAGGACACGGAGCTGTGGGTTAGAGATGCTAATGCTAATGCTAACACTTAAATGACCAGATTAGGGACGTCCCCATCCAGTTTTTTCCCTTCCGATCCGATCCCAGCCTATCAGAGCATGTATTAAAGTTAAAAGTTATTTATCTCCTTAATTAGTTGTCAGACTCATGTTGAACAGGGATTTACTCTGATAACAACTTAATGGTTAGGACACATACCTGTGGGTTACAGATGCTAATGCTAATGCTAACACTTAAATGACCAGATTAGGGACGTCCCCATCCAGTTTTTTTCACTTCCGATCCGATCCCGGCCTATCAGAGCATGTATTAAAGTTATTTATTCTACTTACTTAGCTGTCAGACTCATGTTGAACAGGGATTTACTCTGATAACAACTTAATGGTTAGGACACAGACCTGTGGTTACAGATGCTAATGCTAAACGGTGTGCTGGAAAATGACTGACTACTTATTAGGGAACAACACAGAAAAGTGGACTTCTTTGTTTTCAGAGCAACATTTACACCCCAAATGAGAAACCCTCCAGATCTGGGTTTAATTCATGTAAAATGTAGTAAGCAGAAAAGTCTAAAGACTTAGGAGGGACTTACAGCCCGTTTTATTAATTTTAATAAGAGGTAAAGACGGCTAGACCTGTTAGATTTTCAGATCAAATCTAAACCCTCTAATGGATATATTTATGAAAAAATGGATGACCAAAGTTTTACTGGAGCGTCAGCTAATAAGACGGGGCTTTTATAGTAGGTTTTATTCCCACATTTACACACCAGCT